TCAGGAGTATGAGTAAGAAAAGAAAATTATGTATATCTGAAAGAGCATATTTTTTTTTTTTTTTTAAATATGGCGTAATTTCTTTGAAAACTAAATCAAATATGGCGCGACGTAGCAGGTCATGTGACGGAGACATGTAATGACTGCTTGTATTACATTTTTCTATACATTCAAGAATAGTGTCTCAGGTTAGTTAGCAATATTTATGAATAATTGTTTCAAGTTGAACTTCTGAAAGACTAAAGAGTCGCATTTTGCCCAGGACTGTTCTAGATCAACTTGACTTTATAATTTCATGATGACAGCAGAGTTATGCTTGCGATCGATTGTAAGTGGCTTACCTTTTGAGGTTATTTTATTGACACGTTGTTAATTATAATTTTACAAAATAAATACATTTTCCTGTCAACATATCGCTATATTCCAATTAAAAGAAATTGTATACATGATAATTTATTCTTCAGCTAGACGAACAAAGATTTATTTAAACGGACACGCTCACACATGGGTAAAGGATATCTTTGTACATAAATCGATAGCTAAATAGACAGATGAAGCGTGTAATGAAAATATAGAAGGAAAACTTATGGAAACTTTTTGATAATTAACACCAAAATCGAGAGTTATTAACAATATGTTTTTCTCTGTATATTTTATGGTCTTTGAGAGCCAGAAAACAAGTTATTGCATTTTCGTACTTGCTCTATGGTGAATAAATAGAGAATCTTAAGCATAGTGGTAAAAAAAAGGTCATGCCAACTGTTCCTCTTTTCAGAATAAATAAGTAAGCCCTGTGATATTACAAAATATCTTGACACAAACTTATATATGCAAGTAAAAAAATACATATTAATATTAAAAGATAAACAAGATTATACAAAAATAATATGTGGTGTATATATATATATATATATATATATATATATATATATAAGTGAACATAAGTCAACACTTAGAGGCGACAGTCTGTTTCATGCTATATGCAATCGTCTGACGATTGCATATGACGAAACAGACTGTCACTCTAAGTGTTGACTTCTATGTTCACTTTTTATATTTACACACGCTCTATCTCTGATATTGAGCACTTTATCCCATAAATATAGCACACCTTAAGACTATATATATATATATATATATATATATATATATATATATATATATATATATATATGCTATTATAGCTGTGCACTCCTTTCGTTAATTAGCACGGCCGTTACTTCCTGTCAGCATTTCTTAAATACGCGTTAGATCGCGTGGAAAAAGAGTAAAAGACATTGCTTGGTTTCAGTGAAGAAATGAAAATGGAAGGGGAGAGTGAATCAGATTTGATCGATAAAAACAGATACCACAGTTTGATCTCAGCCAAAAAGCCGAGAAGTAATGATGATCCCCAATAAAAGGGTCATTTTTCAGACGCACACTATCGTACGACGGAAGCAAGTAAGACAATATGTTATGAAAGCACAACAAAAATAGCCATTTTGTTTCAACACTTCTGGTGTTTTATCAAATGATGGTGTTGAATGTAGAATCTACATGTAGTTTTTACATTCAATGTAATGTAGTTTCTACATTCAACATCATCACTTGATACGACAGCACAAGTGTTGGAACAAAATGGCTATTTTTGTAGTGATTTTATGACTTATTTATGTTATAATTTTTGAATAAATTATATTTGCTCTACTTTGTATTGAGCACTCTTTTAAGAATAGTATTGTTTGGTTATTGAAGTTTATTCCGTATACACCAATCCTATACTTGTATATATATATATATATATATATATATATATATATATATATATATATATATATATGTGTGTGTGTGATTATAATAAAAAAAGCGTTGGATTAAGTGCATTGTCAAGGAAGGAGATTATGTTGCAAAGTAAATATTTTTTGTGTAAATTAAAAGCTTTTCATCCTTAGGTATTTTAATACACCTACATACACTATCAGCTAATTAATAACAAATAAAACTAAATCAAATTAGTTCACCTGTGACTGTCTCTACATCAAGTTTCACAGAATTACAGCCACTCTTCAGAAGACTTGATGATAAGTTGTATTTATTTGCAGTAAATGTATACATAGTTAGACTGAAGAGAAAAATTAGAGGGAAGTAATCAATTGGGTGTTTTCACCATCTCTTAGTTGTTAAAATAACCTAATGAAGTGCGTGTTATATAATGGATAAAAAGGTAGTGTAGCTATGGCAATATAGCTCTGGCAGATTTGTGATGAAGATAGTATATAACACTATTTGGTTGCTGGATGATTGTTTTGGAAATAATAGGTAAAAAGGTAGTGTAGCTATGGCAATATAGCTCTGGCAGATTTGTGATGAAGATAGTATATAACACTATTTGGTTGCTGGATGATTGTTTTGGGAATAATAGGCAAAAAGGTAGTGTAGCTGCGGCAGTGCAGCTATGAAAGCTATGTGTTGTGCAGAATATAAAAAAAACATTTTAAATGTCGGATGATTGTTGCGTGAATGATATGTAAAAAGGTAGTGTACCTGGATCAGGCGTCTGCATGTGATGCAAGAACAAGACCGTAAGCAATTGGCAAGAATAGTAACCACAACAACGAATGGTAAACAGCTCAACCCGTCAGTCAAGGAACTGAATAGTGTGCACTGCATTCCATGCGGACTTGCACTCGATCAATAAGATTACTGTCTTTTTTTTTTTTTTTTTTTTTTACATACACATAGCCTTGATTGTTGCAATACACCTGGACCAGTAGAAATCATTTCTGGGCGGTGAAACAATGGCGCCGTTTTATCTGGACAAAAAAGTCACATATCTAACTCCTTCAGGCCAACGATCGAGGTTGTGTGTGGAGACTGCATGAGATTATAGCCCCAGCTTCTTAGCAGTGATTCTTAAGGTATAAATTATTACAATCCGGCAATCAGTTCACCACAGAAAATGTCTGATGACAGAAATCTTCCACCTAAAAAAACCCTATGAAACATAATCTTGCCACCTCATTCCACATAAACCGAGTATAACAGCAAAATTGTCTAAATCGTGTAAAGACAAAGGATAATTGTCCATTACACATATGTAATATCTAAAAAAAAACTAAACTAATTGAGTTTCTTTTTCCAGGTTTTTAGATAAGACGTTTCGCCATCTTGACAGCATTTGTCATAAGAATCACTGAAAAACCCTTAGAGTTACTCAGCTAGAAAGAGAACAGGTTAATCATTGTTTTGTGTCAGCCTCATTATCATCAAAAAAGATCATTCAGGTCTTCTTGACAGATATTCTGTTATCACAATGCGGGATATTTAATAACAAAGATGATGAAAACAAAAAAGAAAAAGAATCTAGATGAAATAGCCTATATTGTATGCAAAAAAATAAATTCTGATTTAAATTTGAAACTCTCAACGTCTCTCTTTCGTGCGCATGTGTAGCCACAACAGCATAAACAAACCCAATCCTAACGGATGAAATGCTCCACAAAACTTTTCCTTCTATTTGTCATACATCTTTTCTTTTAAAACTATTCTTTATATATAAAAATGTACACAAAAAATCGTTTGGGTTTCAATCCTGGCTTGAGGCATTCGGTAGTCTAGTGGTACTGAGGAGCTGTGATACAGTGAAATAGTACTGTCTGCGAATTATATATATATATATATATATATATATATATATATATACAGGTAAAATGAGAACATATGAAGTATAATTCCACTGTATGTAACATTTAATTTAAAAGAGGGCTCAATACAAAGTAGAGCTAAATATTATTTATTTTAGGATATTAAAAAAAACACATCTTAAAAATCGCTACACAATTACAATTATGTTTCAACATTACAAATGTATTTCCTCGGGCGATGTTAAACAAACTATCTCTCTCTCTCTCTCTCTCTATATATATATATATATATATATATATATATTTCTCTCTATGAATATTTTGAAAGAAAAGATTTATGGAAAATTGAAAAGAGTTTCATCTGGTAAGACTTCATCGGACTGGGTTTGTTTTTAAATGTCTCTTTTGTGTTCATATAATCTTTTATTTGATTTATAAGCAGAAAAGAGAAATTAAAAAAAAAACACACACACACAAAACGAAACTGACCAAGTTTGACAAAAAATTGTACTTTAATTAAAAAAGAAAATAAATCGTTAAGATGAAAATGTCTAGAAAGTGTTTTAATCACTAATTCAGCCACAGTAAATTTGTTGTTTACAATTCTTGACGGATATTCTGTTATCACAATGTGGGATATTTAGTAACAAAGATGATAAAGAGAAAAAGAAAAAGAATCTAGATGAAATAGCCTATATTGCATGCAAAAATAAAATTCTAATTTAAATTTGAAAACTGTCAGCGTCTCTCGTTCGTGCGCATGTGTAGCCATAACAACGTAAACAAACCCAGTCCTAACGGATGAAATGCTCCACAAAAATTTTTTCAATTTGTCATAAATCTTTTCTTTTAAAACTATGCCTTATATATAAAAATGTATATAAAAATTTATAAATCTTTATTCCATAAGTTTAAAGTGAACACTGAGGTCAACACCAAGCGGCGACAGTCTGTTTCATGCTTGGCCGTAATCTTCAGGGCATCTGAAGACCTGAAGATTGAACTCAGCCATAAAACAGATTGATGTTAACTTCAGTGTCCACTTTTATATTTACATATCCTCTATCTCTAATAGTGAGCAATTTTACTTATAAATATAGCATACCATAAAACTATATTTTTATTACACAGACACACACAGACACACACACACACACACACACACACACACACACACACACACACACACACACACATATATATATATATATATATTTGTGGTGGGATTCTGTAGTTTAAAACATGTTATATTTATAAGAGAAAGTAATCAATATCGGTGTTGATAGTTATAACAAGAGTGAATATAGGAATCAACACTGGTTGATAACAATCAGTTACACACCTCAGTGTGATCTGAAGACTGAATTGAGGCAGAGAACTGTCTGTCATTGTTGATTTCTATGTACATTATCTATCTATCTATCTATCTATCTATCTATCTATCTATCTAATATCAATAATTAAAATAAAATAATACACGTATATATTTCTGAGATGAGATATTATGTACACTATTCACATTGATTGGACTATCATCCTCATCTTTGTTGCCCTATTTATCACAACCTTTGGCACAGTGGATAAAGGCGTTAGTTAGATCCAGTGACAGGGCCCAAAGAGTGTGAGTTCAATACCCAGTTAAGGCGGTGGAGAATTTGGAGAAGGTAATTAACAGGAGATAACTGATAACTGACATCCATTAGACATGTCACGTGGAACTAGAACAGTCTACCTCGGCGAGCGAAATAAAGGGTTCAGTTCGACATTTCAAACTGAAAAAGGCCGGAGCGTATAACGGCCGAAACGTTGTATGGCAACAAAGATGAGGATGATACTCCAAATAATGTAAGTAGTGAAAATAATACACATCTGTTTTTTTATATTCAGATTGACCAAACATAAGCAAACTATTATTTTACATATTATTAATTAGTTCTGCTCTATTTCATAATACTGATCATCGCTTTTGCAACTACTGCTTACCTTGGAATCGATGTCCTTCATAGTTAATATGGAGCCATCAATATTCTTACGGCTTAGCAATCTTTCGTGGGTTATTTAAAGATGAAAAACATTTTGTATTCTAAGAAGAATTCCATTTTTGCGAGTGAATATGGTATTAACATTTTTAAAGAATAATATGAATTTTTTTTAGATACATATTAAACTATTTAATCCATGGATAGGGAGGAAAGGTAAAGTATTTATACTTTTCCCATGTGTATTTGGGCGTAAGTAAATACAACGAACCTGAATCAGGATTTATCAGTCCGAGTCACAATCCTTTACACCTGAGTCGTTCCGATAGAAAGCAACTGAAAATAAGATGAAAACATGCAATTCCAAAGTTATTCAAAGCTACACAAAATGGCGGAGTTCCCAATGACTCAAAAATTGCGACTGCTTCTTCCTACAACTGTGTCGATGCATTTTTATTATCTATCTGTAGGGCCACTCATAGCGACAAGCTTGAAGAGGAAGTCCCAGACTGAAGGTGACCAACCGCCGAAGACCACCAAATGGCGGAATAGGCAAAGATCTACACGATCTCGAAGGCCACGCCGGCGGAAGAAAGCAGCGACAGTCGGGCTGGATAATCAAGGTGGACGTTAACAGACTAAGCAGCCCGATGCAATGAGGTTTGCCATATCTCACCTGACGCCTGTCCTTTTTGAGTCGCGAGGGAGGCGCTTCTGGCTAAGTGCGTCGCAAAGAGTTGTCCACCAAAATCAAATTTATACGATTGGCCTCGTCAAACTGTCTTTGATTCCCAGCCATCTCCGCCGCCGCCATTTGAAGAGAGAAATGGAATAGGGAGAGAGAATAACGATCGCAATGCCCGGATGCGAACGGGTGCCGACGACACATATCGATGTGGGAAGCTTATTTTTTTTAGCGTTTCACCCCAAGCAAGGCGGGAAGCCACTAGGACGCAAGGGGTTACAGACAATTTGGAGCAAGATCAGATAGGAGTGATAGAAGAAAGGATGAGGAGAAGGGTAGTGGATAGATCAAGGCAACTGGAGATGTCGATTGATATTACATTTGAATAGCTGGAGATTATAGCTATCAGGGAAACTGGAATAGAGAAGGGAGTTCCATAGGCGAGAGGTGCGAGACATGAAGCTATTGGAGTAGAAGAGACGGCTACATTTAGGAGTTTCGACAGTGAAGGGGTGAGAGCGGGATGCCAGCCTCGTATGGCGCTTGAACTCATGAAGTCTGGGAACCAGCGAATACAGCTCCTCGGAGCAATTGCCATGAAAGTATTTGTAAAACAGACAGAGATAGGCGACGTCGCGTCTGTGAGAGAGCGACTGTAGACGAGATGCCAGAACAGGGCCAATTATATTGCATATCCGCCTCTGGAGCCTATCAAGAACCCATGAGGCAAACAGAAGGGGCTCTAGACCATATATGGCAGTAATACTCCATGCAAGGGCGAATTGTTGATTTGTAGATCTGGAGGATTGATTCCGGGGAGAAAAATTTCCTGGTGCGGCACAGGGAGAGTTCTTAATTTGATCCACTTTTTTAAAATCTTACCAATCATCGGAATTCTGGAATCCTTTTCTAACTGGTACGAGGGCATTACTCTGCCCCTTCAAGTATTCATGCTTTTGTGTCCTTCTTTGCTTTTATAGATTTTATATACAAAATCTATTTGAAATCTATCCAACAATACAATATTAAATAATAGCCTACCTGGGGTAATGATGTACGGATGGACGGACAGTTGTGTACTGGACATTTACGTCCCGGACAATTGTGTACCAGACAATTACATCCCTGGACATTTGCGTCCCTAGACAAATGCGCCCCTTGATAATTTTGTATCTCTGATGATTTTTTTAAAGTTACTATGTTTTTTTTTTTAAAGACTTGTTTAATATAGAAATTCACACACCAATACCTTTAATTACTCTAAACAAGCAGGAAGGTAGTTACCATAAATAAAATATAGAAACGATTCTTTTTTAAATCAAGAGAAAATTAAACTCGCAGTTTCAGTTCACTCCAGCAGTGCGTACCACAAACATCTAATAAATTATGGATTTTATAGATTGTATTTTTATTTGGAACATATGGCTAAGTTCCTAAAATCAAACACTGGTAGAAAATATTTTTGGACGAGGAAAATTACAGCTACCACTATCATAAGAAAAACGCAGATGAAACAAAACATATTGGCGATGTGCAGAGCGATCTTGTAACATTAATCTGCCATTGCATTTTAAACAAAAATAAATTATTAATTTAAAAAAAAATGTATTCCTTTTATTCCTTTTTAAAAAATAATTGTTACTACCTATGTTTTTTTTTTCAAAATTTATGGTAATTGCTTTTAGAAGCTTCAAAAATTATCAGCGGTATGCAATTATCCAGGGACGCATTTGTCTAGAGACGCATTTGTCAGGTACGCAATTGTCAGGTACGCATTTGTCAGGTACGCAATTGTCCGGTACGCAATTGTCAGGTACGCAACTGTCAGGTACGCATTTGTCAGGTACGCATTTGTTCAGGACGCAACTGTCCTAGAACCAATTGTACGTTAATCATCTTCAAATATTCCTCCTGGATCCTATCAAACATATCTTACAAATTTAGAACATTCCTTGTTCAATATTGCAATTGGCGTTTTCATTGCATTTTCTCCATAAGCTCATCAATGGCGTTTTAACGGCAATTTCATCTTTACAGAAAAATCGAAAAAAGGCTAAAAGTGGACGATATATCGGATGCAAACAGCTTTGGATGACGAGATTCTTTACCGTAAATCTTGCTCTTCTATTTGTGAATACCAACGGATTTAGTAAACACCGCGGAAGTCACGCATACGCAGCAAAGGTGGTCGATGATTATTTTTCGTGTTATATCAAGGCGACGCAACCGGTTCCTAAGAAAATCCAATCCACCAATGAAAAATAGATATCGTAAAATTAAAGGAATGTTGTAAAGGAAGGAAAAATGGCAATAAAGTTCTCAAAAAAAAAAAAAAAGAAAGAAAAAAGACGATATAAAATTATTTCTGGTGAAACCATTTTCCCAAATCTGCAGACTGGCCTGTGGGCAAAAAAAAACAAAAAACAAAAAAAAAATTTCGTTTTCTCGATAAAATCCGATCTACTCTAAGGAAGAGAGAAATCAGTAAATAAATAAATACTTCAAGAATTCCATGGTATAGGTCTTCTGGGAAAATTCCTGAAATCAAACTAGGAATGAACATAATAATAATAATAATAATAATAATAATAATAATAATAATAATAATAATAATGACGATGATGATGATAATAATGATGATGACGATGATAATGATAATAATAATGATGATGATGATATTATTACTAGTAGTAGTGTTTTCTTGTTATTGCAATTTCACAATAATATTTTACGTCATTCTTAAAAAGTGCTTCCATTTCTGCTGAGATGTAAAGCTAAAAATGATTGCAGTTATTTTGCTGCGTTCTTCTATTCGTGTGAGGAGTCGATCGTCTTGGCTATTTTCGAAACCATAAATTAGCATTTTCATATCGATACGTGCAGTGTTCCATTGCCATTAATATTTAAAATATCTCACGCTATCTACCATTTCATGAACTAACGCAAAACAGACAAAGTTTTTTTCTTACCCACCTGTCTTTCTCTCAATATATATATATATATATATATATATATATATATATATATATATATATATATATATATGTGTGTGTGTGTTTATTATGTTATATTTATATGTTATATTCATGTTATATTTATATGTATATTGTATCAATAATCTCTTAACGTATATATGGATATATAGATAAATGAAACGGTCTTTTGAACAGGAATAGATGTTCATACATTGTTTTTTTTTGTGTAAGATTGGGTTTCCGTTGGTCAATTGAAGGAATTTTATTTTTAATGAATCACGTTTTTAATATCTTTCCATTCCATGTCAACCCCCTTACATCTTAGTGATATTATCGCCTTGCTTATATTGGATTTTAGGGGTCTTTTGAACAGGAATAGATGTTCATAAAATAATCTCTTTCAGTATGCATACATCTTACTGATATTATGGATTTTGTTTGGGGTGAAAATAAAATATCTCCATATAGAACTATATAGAGAAATATATGTATATATACAAGCTGCGATGGGAAAATCATCGCCATTTTTTTATTTTTAGTTTCGCGCATGCGCTTTCTTTGATTTAGATTTTGTCAACTACACATTATAGTAGGGTTAATTGGATACCGTCTGTGAGAAGAAAGAGCACCATGACGTCAGAAATTTGGAAACGGCATGCTGTACTACTTGACATTCACGCCGGAAGCTCCAATACGACTATTTCAGAGTGTTTGGGTGTCAAGCTGAGGACAGTGTAGTGGAATTGGAAAGCGTTAAGTCTAATGGTGATTACGCAGGTGCTTGGAGTGGTCACGAATGATGTCGACGCCAT